GATCATTGGGATGTTCTTTCAGGCACATGTCTCAGTGAAATGTGCAAAAACAAATTGATTTAGATGTCTAGATGTGGAGTAGGCATGGGTGATCATTCAAACGGGATGCACGTTGTTTTGTTGAACCAAGAATGGACATTGCGTCCGTATGCTTTTGCTAATTTGCTAAGACCAAGAATCGCGCAATGCTGCCGCTGGCATTCTTTCACACCTTGAATTACACATAAAATTTATGTTGATACCATGTAGGATGGTCTGACTGGAAGCGCGTGGGGTGACTGGGCCAACTACACAGCCTCCCCGCTCCGGGCTTTTGAGAATGAGCTGGGTGTGCAGGCCCTTTCACTTTGACATGTTTGTTTTAATGACGACACCAGCCAAACACTCATTGGTAGTTTGTTTTTTTGGTTCGGACAACATACTTGAACCAACAAGATGCCTTGAACCGCAAGTGAACATCAAGAACGGCTTGTGCTTTGCTTGTAACACTTTTGGATTGGAAGAAAGAATGAAATGGAAGGGGCATGTAGCCAACTGCCTGGAGCCTCAACGGCTTTCTCTCGTCAGCCAAACTGCAGGATTAGAAAGAGGAAGAACCAAATTAAAGGACACTTCGTATTTTTGTCTAAATTAGACAGTGCTTTCAGCTCCTCATGAGATGCGAGTTGTTCTTCCCCTGAGGCGCCCGTGGGTTTCTTCGACCCTTTTGGACTGACCAAGGCTGGGTGCCCCCCTTATTCGAAGACATGAGAAATCCTTCATTACCCTCCATTCCGTCCCGGATTTCCTTTCCAGTCTTCAGGATGGAGACGTGGAGGCCTTCAAGCGCCGCCGCGCAACAGAGCTGAAGAACGGCGCCTGGACGAGTTGTGAGGTGGAGAGAGGAGAGAGGTGGAGATTGGGAGAGAGAGGGGGAGAGGATCAGTTTGACGTTGAAGGTTGGTGAAGCTCCTCACTGTCGCGTGAGTTTTGTTGTCGATCCTGTAGGGGACTAAATGAAGGAGGGAGAGGACTTGGAGAGGACAGGGGTTGTGCGATTCCACGAGCAAACAGGCCCTGCATCGTTGTCAACAAGCAGAGTCTACAACCTAGTCTATCTTTGTTTGGCCAAACCGTGCATGCTAGCATTTCCTCATTTTCAGCCGAAGTTGGTCATTCTCCTCTTTCCTCCTTGTAAGATGAGCCACGGAAGACTCTTCCCACAACCACATGGCTGAAGCTATATATACTATTCCGGTTGAGCTGCAAGCTCAACATTATTCAAGCCTTTTTCTGAGCTCAAGAAAAGAACTCTTCCAGTCTACTTCCACTTGCACCACTGGGTGCTGAGGACGTGTGGCCATGTTGGCCACCATGGGCTACATCGTCCCGGAATACTTCCGCTTCCCAGGATTGGTCTTGAGTTGAGCGGGGGATGGGCAGCAAAGATGCAGCGCTCTTTTTTGTTTTGAGGAACCAGGGAACTTTCTAAATCACTTTGTGTGTTGTTTACGGGGCTTGCACTTCAAACTGCTTTTCCAAATCATTGGTATCCCAATTTGAAGCTTTCTTTGATTCAGAAAGAATTCAAATAAAGAACTTCAAGTAAGTGCTTTATTTTCTGCCAATTTGGTGTGCTTTGTGACTTTGTTTGCACCAGATTGCAGGATACTGCTCTCCCACTGAAGGGGTGAAATTTGCTGACGTGCCCAATGGCTTGGCAGCACTTGGGAAGGTTGGGATGCTCATGTTGTGCTGTCACGCAAGTTCAGGGTGAAGGCGAAAACAGTGGAAGAAAGGCTTCCAGGAAAATATTTTGTCCAACAATTTCCAACTTGTAGCAACATTTCTTGCAAAGGCTGACCATGTCCGATCTTGGTTTGTCCAGTTTTGGAGTCTGGACCATGGCATGCCTTGCCCTCCTGGGTTTGTTGTCACGAGGTGCCTGCAGCTGGGTGGACACAGATCTTCCTCTTCCTTGGTCTGGTGGAGAAGGGAATCTACACTTATGATCCTACTCGTTCCCCTGGCGACTTCAAGAGTGCAGGTGGGCCTGGTTGATCTCCTCGGAGATTATGATCTTTGTAAGGTCATCGTTATGACAAACACATGGAGATGTTTGTTTCATACAATTCCTTTGCAGAGTTGGGGTGTGGCCGGTCTCACGGTTTTTTTATCCACGGTCTCCACCTGGACCTGCCTGTCTAAACATTTGCAAGGCGTCTTTACCCAGGAGCTCTGGTACTTGTCTTTCTTACCAGATGGAAGTGGATTCTCAGACACCCTGTCTCCTACTTTCATGATCACGATCAAGCGACAAGGAGCAACTCACTTTCCAAGTGGCTCCTTGTTTTCCTGGAGGTGTGCTGGGCGCGCCCAACGGCAGCACAATGGTGCCTGGTGAGGGACGCACTCGCAAGCTGAACTCCGAACTCGCCAACGGGCGCCTGGTGACTGGGCACCACTTAGGCCGTGAGGAGCTTTGGCCAAGTGAGGGATGGTCACCAGGCTGTTAGCCATGCGACCCCCTGCTATCTCTGGTAGCTGAAGTATACCAATTTTGAACCTTTCTTGTTTTAGATTTGTTCTTGATTGAAAGGATGTCATGCCTTTAGTCTCGAGCTATCAGACACACACACACACACATCCTTTTCTTTCTTTTTTTCCTCTCTCTCTCTCTCTTTCTCTCTTTCTCTCTTTTTTTCTCTCCTTCTCTCTCTCTCTCTCTGACTCTAGCTAACGTCCCAAAGTCTCCAGTGCTCCAGGGCTTGGAGACTCAGACTACGTTTCTTGTGGATGTCTTGATGTCAATGATTTATGTAGCTTTGGACGCTTGACAAACAGCGCAAGACATGTTCAAGAACTTTGTGCTCCCTCAAGAGACAATTCGTATGCGATCAACATGATCTTAGGAGCTGTTTAAGTGCTCCGCCTTGTTCGAACTTGAAAGCCTCCTTCAAGAGACAAAGCGCAACACAGCTCCGTTTTAAGAACTGAGGCAATGATGGCAATCATTGGCATGTTTTTTCAGGACACATGATGGGATCACAGCTGCTGTTATGGTTGAGTGCAGCTTGAGCTCCATATCAGCCATGGGTTGCAACTTTTGTCGAACCGGTTCACTTTCCTTCATTAATTACAATGAATGCGACAAAGGAATACAAAGGATATGTTTTGTATCAAGGCACAATGTACCTTCAGGGCATGCCCACTCAAAGTGGTCGTTAACTCGATCTAACATATTTGTAGACATGACTTATGCCACTACTTACTTCCTCTGACGAACCCATAATTGAAATTGTTATTTTAACGCTGTCCACATACTGGACATCTATATAGCTCTAATTTTGTCAAGACAAAGCTGAACCAGGGCTGCAAAGGAACACAGCACAGTTTTCTTTGGACTCTTGGAAAGAATGCGTAGCCTCATCTGCCAGGCAACAGGTTTTTTCTAGTCCAACGGTGCTCCATTCGTGCATTGTTTGCATTGGCATGGTGGTCACCCCGACAGATTGTAATACGATCATTAATGCTTGTTTTCCCTCTGAATGTCTTCCAGGCCGCGAACTCGGCGCGAAACGCAAGACAACATGCAACGAACGGTGTTGTGTATGCGGGGCAGATCGCCTCCAATGTAGGTGTACCGTTTCATGTTGAAACTTCGCAGGATGGCCTCACTGGCTCTGCCTGGGGGGATTGGGCAGCGTACACCGATTCCCCTCTGAGAGCCTTCGAGAACGAGCTTGGTGTCCAGGCCTGATGCTCAAGATGTTCTGGTCCAGGGGTTCATCCTAAAGATTTTCAAGAGGGTTTCAATTGGTTTTCTTTCATTCCTTATGATCTTGTAGTATGGCCAGTAGGGGTAGAAGTGGGCGGTACAGACAGACTGAGCACACTCTTCCTGTAGACTGATGGAGAGGACTGAGGGTACATACTCCTTGAGAGAGACTTAAATTCACCTCTTGCTCAAGAGAGCGGGACCTTGTACTGGTGGATCTGCCACTTGCATGTTCCCAGAGTGTTTTTCTTCAACTACCCCTGGCAAAAGGAGAATTCATGGATTGGGGGGTGATCACAGCGCGGAAGGCCCCAGTGGGCTACTTCGACCCCATGGGCTTGGCCAAGGACATGCTTCTTTGTCAACATTGTGAGACATGTTTTCTTAAGAGAGATGATCCGTCAAAGCCGCCGAAGACTGAGTTGCAAGTGGGTCGTTTCTTGACCACTCCACCAACGATGACTCGACCACTCCGCGAGGACGGGGACGTGAAGACCTTTCGCCGCCGCCGGGAGAGCGAGCTGAAGAACGGCCGTGTGGCGATGTTCGCCACTATGGGCTGCAGCTTGGCATATGGCTCAATGAAAGAGTTTGGCTGGTATGAAACGCATTCTGGTCATTGTTCATGTTGAACCAAGTCATCCTGCCGGAGTACTTCCGCTTCCCTGGCTACCTCTCGCGTGCTGCTCAGACCCTCCGTCGTGTGTCCCGCGAAGTGCAGTTTTCACCGCGAACCTGCCTGAACCACGCGCGGTTGGCCGACCGAGGCCTGCGAAGGGGCTCAAGTTCGCTGATGTTCCAAATGGCTTGGCAGCGCTCTCCAAGGTTGGGATCTTGGGTGCAGTCTAGCTGGGGGTGACGCCCGGACTTTACATGTTCCACCAAGTTTCCGAGTTGTTTCACTTTGTACCTGGTCATGTTGGCTCTTTTCTTCTTGGTTTGACAGTCCCCTGTCTCCGAGAAAATTGATTTGATGATGTGGGTAGCTGTAGAAGCTGGTGAATATTTTGGTCGCATGGCCAAGCAAAGTAGCTCGCCAGGCCTTAGCTTTCTTTACAGCCCGCCAGCACAACGTCGCCAGTTTGGGCAAACATGACATATAAATGGATCAATGCCGCCTATGCTTCTTTTTGTGCGCTAGCATCGAGAGTGTGACAGAAGTACCCTACAACACAAACGAATAGGTGAATAACAGGAACACTTGCCAATTCTTTTCAACACATTTGGGTTTGCATTTGCAGAATAAGCGTTCGAGTCAGGTGCCTTTGACTGGCTGGATCCAGATCTTCCTCTTCTGTGGCATGGTGGACTTCGGCCTCTACAGGCAGACTCAACTGTTTCTGTCGCAGTGGAGCAAAGGACTTTGGTGCTCGGTGCTCATGCAGTCCTTTCCCATCAAAAGCTGTCGTGTCTTTTTTTCAGTTCATTCCGTGTTTGGTGCTTTCTTCAGCATCTGGCAGACCTGGCACGGCACACCTGGCACACCTTGCACCCGCCTGCAACGCGCCTGCGCAGGGCAGATGATTCTCGGGACCCTGGAGACTATGAGAACCTCAGCTGCGGCAAGCCACGTTTGTGTACGTTGAATGGAAGATCGCGGGATATCGCACATTTGCGCTTTAACCGGGAGGCAACCAAGTTCGGATTTTGCCATCCAAGTTCGGACAAAGTGATAACATATTAATAGGTAAATACGGTAAATATAGTAATATATTTGGTACCCACCAAAAGAAACAAGCAACCAACAATTTTCATAAAAGAAAAAGTCACCAGCAACTTTAATGATCTTGAGGTGCTGCAGGTCATTATGGTCCAGGTACTTAGACTATACGGTGCGTGGTCTTTGTGGTCCAGGTACTTAGACTTAGACTATGGTGCGTTTGCAATTGCTTGCAACCGCCCACAATTTTAAGATTTTAGGAACCAGGAAAACTTCTTGAATACAAGTGCCTGGATTTTAAGAATCTAAGATTTTAAGATTTTTAGGATTTCAAGATCCAGGAAAACTTCTTGAATACCATGTGCCTGAATTTTGGTTTCCAATAAGTTTCCTTGGATCTTAAATTTTTGAAGTCTTGAATTCCAGTTTTCTAGGATCCTAAAATCTTAAAACCTTACAATACTAAACTCATAAAATCGTGGGAGTGGCCAATCTGTTGCTTGGATCACATTCAAGACTCGTGAACCACCAACTTCAAGCAAAGCTTCTGATTCGCAACGCCCGCATTATGCCAGCCTCGCCAAGTACTTCCAATGATGAAGACGTTCAAGATGCTGTGATGCCCGTCCGAAGATTGGCAGTCAGCCGGCTGGTTGGCGTCGCAGACAGTTTGCTTGCCCTCCTCTCCGTCATTGTCGTGCAAAAACATCTTCTCCGTCGTTGCGGTGCAAAAACATCTTCCCCCACCGTCTCAGGAAGCTCAGATCTGTGTCGAGGGGCTTGCCCAAGCTGCCGAAGCTGCCGAAGCTGCAGAAGAAGAAGAAGAAGAAGAAGAAGAAGAAGAAGAAGAAGAATAAGAAGCCATGGCCTGTGGCGAACATGAGTATGCTGATGTGGATCTGTCTGCTGACGAGGAGGCTGCTGCTGAGATGGTGGTAGTTATTGCACCTCTTCGCAGTGAGCCACTTCACTGTGTATGTGTGCGTATGCATCTGGCCTGCTGTGCATTAGAAGTAAAGAGCAGAGGGTCGGCTTAATTCCCCAATAGCCATGCTATGGGGTCTTGCAAAACTAATAGGCGGACGGGCGCCGTCGGGTCACCGTCAGAGCTGGTGGGCGGATGGTGTCCCGGTCATGTTTTGATGGCGTCCGGGTCATGTGATGCTGGTGTCCCGGTCATGTTTTGATGGTGTCCCGATCATGTTTTGATTGTGACCCAGTCATGTTGTGATGGTGTCCCGGTCCTGTTTTGATGGTGTCCCGGTCATGTTTTGATGGTGTCCCGGTCATGTTGTGATGGTGTCCCGGTCATGTTTTGAAGGTGTCCCGGTCATGTTGTGATGGTGTCCCGGTCATGTTGTGATGGTGTCCCGGGCATGTTTTGATGGTGTCCCGGTCGTTTTGTGACGGCGTCCCGGTCATGTTTTGAGGGTGTCCCGATCATGTGATGGTGGCGCGGTCATGTTGTGATGGTGTCCCGATCATGTTTTGATTGTGTCCCAGTCATGTTGTGATGGTGTCCCGGTCATGTGATGGTGTTCCGGTCATGTTGTGATGGTGTCCCGGTCATGTTTTGATGGTGTCCCGGTCGTGTGTCCCGGTCATGTTTTGATGGTGTTCCGATCATGTGATGGTGGCGAAGGTCATGTTGTGATGGTGTCCCGATCATGTTTTGATTGTGTCCCAGTCATGTTGTGACGGTGTCCCGGTCCTGTTTTGATGGGTGTCCCGGTCCCTTTTTGATGGTGTCCCGGTCGTGTTGTGACGGTGTCCCGGTCATGTTTTGATGGTGTCCCGGTCCTGTTGTGATGGTGTCCTGGTCATGTTTTGGCGGTGTGCCGGTCATGTTTTGATGGTGTCCGGGTCATGTGACGGTGTCCCGGTCATGTTG